TTTATATGTTACTATTGGGTCAAAATAGAGGAAAATCTATTTAATATGAGGGAAAGTGAACAAAAAGTTACTTTCCCATGAGGAAAATTAATTTTTTGGAACATTTCACCCACTGCACTTTTAAATCTTTTTTTTTGATATCCATGGTGGGCATAACACACATAGATCATTGTGTAGCATTGTATTTAACAACAAAGTTATTGGATCTACAGATTATGATGATAGTAAGTAAAAGCTTAGACTAACAACAAATTATTTATGTATATATAAAAAAAAAAAAAAAAGTGTAATTAAATGTAACACAAACTAAAGTAGATTAAAAAAAAAGTGATGAATAAATTCTGTCAAGTACGTTATCTTTCTCAGAGAACTCAAGATCACGTGTTATGGTTGCTTTGTAGTTCCTGCTGTAAAATCGAAACAGATATACTTAACACAGAACATAATAAGATAGTTTATTTACTCTTATGAATTATTAAGTAGAAATGTTAATTTTTCTAATCTTCTTTGGTAGTTTTAATTTCTCAAGTAATTTTGTTTTCACTTTAACATTAAATTTGAACTCAAAACTTGCGTAAATGACTTCGTACTATAGGATTACTTTGTTTATCCTCACTTTGTTATTATCATTTCAGTGTTTTAAGAAGCTTAGCTCTGTTTTTGTTTGTGATTATTTCTTTATAGTATATTTTAAAAAGGAAAATCCTTTGAAGATTTCATGATTCAGTTTTTATCTTTTATTTTCAGAAATACAATTTTATGTTACATCACCACCAGTTTCAGTAGATTCAAGTAAAAACTTAGCACCAGACAACCAGCAAAAGTACCCAGCATGTAACGGAGACTTGGATTCAGACCAAGGAGGAAGCTTGCCTGACAGGTACTTTTCTGGTCACCTACATGTCTCTTTAATGTTGTTTGTGTGATTCAAGATAAGGGTTGTATTCAGTAAAGAACTTTGATAAGAAACAGTTTACTTGTCATAACTCTCTAACCCTATCGCGACGGGTCGCGTGTCAAAGGCCATGTTATCACGTTTGTTGACTTGCATTCAAAATGTTATTGAACTACTATTTTATGAATTTATGTCAATAAGTTTGGTATCAAACTGTAGTTTATAATTCAAATTTTAGTGTTATACATTATTTAGTTTCTTAACTTAAGAGTAAATATAACAAAAAACAGTTAAACATTGATTTTTGTGTGTCATGAGTATGTTGAATGCAGCACTGGTTCAAATTAGATTTGTGTGATGTCAAAATACTAAGTCTGTAGTTTTGTACAAATTAGAAACTCAAATTACTAATATTGACATGCTAGAATATAAAATTTGAATGTCTTATCTTTTCTATTTGTTAAGATATCATTCATGTACTTAATAAAACACAGTTGCCCTCCGCCCAC